GTATTTTCTCAGAATCGGCGCATATTCATTCTTCATGATTATTGAAAAAAGACTAAGCTAGAGAAAGCAATCTCACCTTAGTTGTTGTTAGATTCCAATGTTTTGGTGAGATGGTTTTGTGGAGACTCGTCTGATTATGGACCTACAAATCATGTTCATTAAAATTTCTTTTTCTCTATTGTCACGTATAATGATTTATATAGTTCCATTCTATGACTATGCATGATAATGAAAAGTAGTTACTACCATGAAAGTTAGTAAGTAGTAAGGCATGGACATTGAGGGTGTTCACTGTCAAGGTTTCTTTACATTCCCATATATGGTCAACCAACTGAGCGATCGGGTTTAAAATATGTAGCAATGATACTAAGGCACAAACGGGCCTGTTATCGCGCGGGTCTTTCATCGCGACAGCTTCGTATTACGAACTAGASTATTATAAAGCCAACCGTGGTTCGGGCTTCGTTTTGCATATCTGTCATCGCTGTGTAAACAAATTGCCCTAGTACATGCCCAAATAATTGGAATATCTCAGTAGACCGGAAAGAGCACAAAAGAACCGCTCTTTCTAACCTACCCCAGTCTATTTTACTGTACTGAAGGTAAATTTGATTAACTTATTAAAGAAATTAAGCGACGCCGGCACTGCTTGGCACGGATAGTGCAGCGGTAAGTACTGCTGATTCAAAACAGAAAGRCCGTTGGTTGGAAAGGACGCATACTTTTAAGATAATAAAGTGAGCCCTAATTAGTATCTATTTAGAAACAAACATATATACGAATACGAATAAGTGAAACAAACACACTGATATATGACCCAATCCGTCTGTCCTAGCGCTCTTGGATTGGATTTTTAAGCCAATCATATGAGCAGATTAATTGAGCCATGCACTGTGCWCGTGATAAAAGTACATGAAATGAAATCCGATAAGCCACAACAATGCGCGCGGACTTCGACAATTCCCGCCAAGTCCGCCAAGCATGTTTCTTGTTTGGATTAGAAGCCGTCCCAAACTACGGCAAAATGCTACTTTTTTTCTCTATGCGCGTTTTTTAAAGACATTGAAAGGAAATTGAAATATTTTATTCGTGGTACAGCGGTCTTTTCTTTTCGTAATCAAGCTGCTGAACTCCGAATGCGTGGGTTCTTAGCAGCATATTGTGCTAGCACTTTATAGGGCTTRCTGACAATAGGTTTCGAGAATTGAGGACTGCTGACTGCGTTTTAAAACAAGTCCGAGTTTATGAAGAAGAGTTCAAAATAGATATTATATATATATATACGGGATGTAGACTAGGAGGTTTCGAAATCTAACATACAAGGGCGGATCCAGGAGGGGCAAAAGTGGGCTAAAGCCCTCCTTCAGCATAAAAAAACTGAAGAATTACATGCTTTTTTATTGTTTTCCGTTGTGTTGACGGAAGAAACTCAATCAGCCCCCCCCCCCAACTCATTTAGCCACCCTAAACTCAATTAGCCCCCCCCCCTAAAAGTTTGGCTAGATCCGCCCTTGACTTAACCACAGAAAATAGAACTGCAAGGTAGTTGAAAGCCGGCTTGCCTTGACAGAAGATTTTCCAGTAGTAGTTTTACAGTAGATTTTCGAAAAGGTGAGGTAAATATCTAAGTCATATGATTGCAGTAGATATATAACTTGTGCTAATACGCTACCTTATTTAGGATTTACGGCATATATTTGCTCACATTGTCGCGTTCCTGGCCTATCAACATCAAACTACAGTAAAGCACAACTTATTTAATTACACGTTGAATGAGATTTTAAGTTCAACTTGAAGTTTCAAAGACATCTTGCGGATGCGTATCCAGAGTAAAGGATMTTTGTGACCAAAAAGACAGGCTTTACACTTAAAGTTAAAGTAATATATATATATATACACTCGATTGCAGAAACGTTGTAGTATACATTTATACATATATCTAATTTATTCAGTATATTTAATGATATGCAAAACAGAAAAATCGCTTTATTTATTGTTTGTTTCATTCAATGACTGTCAAAAATATTTTTTTCTTGTCTATTAGATCGTACAGATTATAAATCAGTTGAAAATGGTTA